AGAGAGAGAGAGAGAGAGAGAGAGAGAGAGACATTCACCGATAGTGGGCATATGAGTGAGGGGCCGCTCGCTTCTTGATTTATCCGCATCTGATCGGATTTGGCGCCAAATGCATGCAGTATGAGAAGTTCAACTCGTAGCACTTGATTCGATTGGATTTACCCGTAAACCTTTGACGTACCTGAATGCATCCGATCGGATTCGGCGCCAAATACATGCAATCTAGTAAATTGAGAGAGAGAGAGAAAGAGAGAGAGAGAGAGAGAGAGAGACATTCACCGATAGTGGGCATGTGAATGCGGGGCCGCTCGCTTCTTGATTTATCCGCATCTGATCGGATTTGGCGCCAAATGCATGCAGTATGAGAAGTTCAACTCGTAGCACTCGATTCGATTGGANGATTTGGCGCCAAATGCATGCAGTATGAGAAGTTCAACTCGTAGCACTCGATTCGATTGGAGTTACCCATAAACCTTCGACGTACCTGAATGCATCCGATCGGATTTGGCGCCAAATACATGCAATCTAAGAAATTGTAGCACTCGCCCTCATCTCTCTCTCTCTCTCTCTCTCTCTCTCACACACACACACACACACACACACGCGCGCGCTCGCGCACACATGGCACAGAGAAAAGATGATCAAGAACTTCCAAAGACGATTCTTCTTGAATTTTCTCTTCTCAGCGGCCGTGTTTCTTGAATTTTCTCTGCCCGTGTGTGCATGCGTGCGTGTGTGTGTGTGTGTGTGTGTGTGTGTGTGTGTGTGAGAGAGAGAGAGAGAGAGAGAGAGAAATTCGTTGATAGTGGGTGTTGTATCTGGCCCAGTTCAGCGGTTGTTTACGTTGAAGTCCATCTGCGGCCGCGTTTCTTGAATTTTCTCTACCCGTGCGTGCATGCGTGTGTGTGTGTGTGTGTGTGTGTGTGTGTGTGTGAGAGAGAGAGAGAGAGAGAGAGAGAGAGAGAGAGAGAGAGAGAGATATTCGCTGATAGTGGGTGCTGAATCTGGCCCAGTTCAGCGGTTGTATACATTGAAGTCTATCCGGCACTGCAAAGCATTGAGAGAGAGAGATTCGAACTTGAAAGTGGTGTGGCAAACTCCCTATATCGCATCTAGATTACAAACTCAAAGGATCCGATGGTACAAAAAATAAGAGTGTTATCCTTTCTTTCCAATATTTCTGTCATTTGTTTTCCATCATGCACTGTGCCACACTCCTCCCCTAAATACAAGATACTGTCATTAACACAATATCCTAACTGAAAGTTGCTCCAAATGCAGCGATTGTGACGGTACTTTCTATTTTGTAAAGACAATAGCGGAATGCTGCCCCGTGGCTCTGGCACTGGGGCAATTTTTTTTTTTTTTTTTTTTTTTTTTTTTTTACTGATGGATAAGGAATCACCACATTGCCCACAGTTAGTGATACCCCTTAGAAAAGTGATCGACTTATGTGTGTGTGGAGAGAGAGAGAGAGAGAGAGAGAGAGAGAGAGAGAGAGAGAGAGAGAGCATGAAGCAGTGTCATTTTGAAAGCACATACGATCAGGACTGCAGGGGGATGACGCCAATCCCATTCCGAAGGGCCCGGTCCAGCCCCGCTGTAATGGGGTATACAGTCTCCAGGCCCTGCCTGTAATTTTTTTATAGGAGAAAGTACGCGGGAGTCACACTACGGGCCAAGATACAGTTTCGAATTACAGTTGGGGCAGTGTATAATCATTGTATACAACCCAGCTTTGTGGCCAGGTAGGGTGCCCAAACTGCAATTGCAAACTCTATCTTGCCCGGTAGCGCAATTATAACTCATTTTTGTGACTCTACAGAAGGTACCCTTTTTTTTATCACTTCTGCAGCAGTCAATTGCGCTCGCAATTACGAAACCCTGCCTGTACACATCAATAGTGTTCACATTCTCATCGTTTTTTTGTTCTTCACAAAACGATAGTACTTTCCCTAAGATTTGACTTTTGCTAATTATAAATAACATATCCTTTACTTTTCGTGATCAGAGGGAGTGACCTGCTTTCATCCATTCTACTTCACTGCGGGAGAGACTCTAAAGTAGTCCCTCAATTGGAGATTAAGAGGACAGAGGAAGAAGAGGGTGCATGTAAGGGATTGAGGAGGACAGTCAAGCCAGCAAAACCATGGCGCCTACCAATACTGCAAAAGAGAAAACACCACGGAAGTCCTGGTCAATCAAAGCAAATTTGGACATCATACGAGATTACAAACCAGGGGAGAAAGGGAAGGGGATGGACACTCTCGCGAAGTTGCACTGTGTGAGCAGAACGGCGCTTCGTCAATGGGTGCATCAACGTGAAGAGTTGGAAAACTCTTTGTTAGATAGGACAAAGGCCAGCCGCACTCAGCGTCGGTTACCTGGAGGGGGAAGGAAACCTGACCACAAAGACTTAGAGGACGAGCTCGAAGAATGAATTTTGGCAAAAAATAAGAAAGGGCTCAGAGTGAGGGAGCAATACATAAAAGCAAAGGCCCGACTGATTCACCAGCGTAGAGTAGAGGAAGGGGATGTGTCGGAGGATGTGCAGTTTGCCGCATCAGAAGGGTGGCTGTCATGGTTCAAACGGCGAAAACATTTTGTTGCACGTAGGCACACTACAACACGCTGCATTCCAAATGATGTTGCAGACCTTTGCAG